AAAATCCACAAGAGGCACCACTTTGCGCAAGTGGGGAGTTGGGCAGCGGACCGCTTCAAGGCGTTTCCTGTTTCTGGTGCCCCTGCTTTTTGGGGGATTTATAGGGAGTAGGACACGTAGGTTCGGAGAGGCCTACCCTAAACCCTAAACCCTAAACCCTAAACCCTAAACCCTAAACCCTAAACCCTGGATGCAAAAGGAAATGTAGGTTGCGTTTTTTGTTTCACGGCTCTGGGGCTTTGAGGACCTTGGGGAGGTTGGACGTTGTTTGGGTTCGTCTGTTTGGGTTTCTGTTGCTTTTGTTTTTAGGGCGTGAGGGCTTTCTCGCCCTCATGGTATGGGTCACAGTGCGGGTACAAACCCTAAACCCTAAACCCTAAACCCTGTAGAGTTACGTGGGTCTCAGGTCAGACCAGAGCCTCGAAGAAAGGCTTTTGAAAATCATCAGGTAGTGCTTGCTGCAAGACCACTGTGCATGAGCTGCGGAACCTTGCGGCCAATAGAGAGTTTTGGTCAAGTCATCGGTCAGATAATGCTGCGAAGTTTGTAGGTTGAGCCGGGTGCGGACTTGTTTCTCTATTCTACACTTCGTCATTTGTCATCTGAGATAGGTGGGCACTTGGTTGTGCTTCCGTCTTTGGAAAGCAAACTTCACTGTGATTTCTAAGTACTTGCACAATACTTTATATGCCTGCAATACATGCATACACACACATACACATACTGAGTTACACAGACATGCTTTCGAAAACTGGGGTGCGCACTCCCCGCCTACTACGGTTACAACAGAATCTGAGGAACACCTTTTCCCCTATGACAGGTAACGATAAACAATCATCTACGAGTCACCTTTGCTGAACCCTTGACCTTTCCGATCTTGCTGGCAGGTTCGCCGCTTGGTTTCCTGGGTGATCGTTGACCCAGCCACGCGGCAGGCACTCCCTGCCCTGGCCTGCCATTGTTGTGTTCAAGACACCTTGAGAACGCGAAAGCCTACATGTCCGCAGGTTCTTGTTCAGCATCTGTCTGGACTGAAGGTTCTTACAAGGTATCGGGTGCGTCTTCATGGTGAACGACACTGAAGCACAGCTGTGCCGTACATAGCCAAGTCCAAGCTTGCAAGATGATCATCAAATGACCCCAAAGTTGGGATCAGAGGCCCGAAGCCACGTAGGCCCCATGATGATATATGGAGGGTTTGCATGCAAAAAACCCTGATATGCCCTAAGCCATAGCCCCTTATCAGGGTAGATGGAGAGTTCATGTAGTCCACTTCAAGGATACCCTAAACCCTAAACCCTAAACCCTAAACCCTAAACCCTAAACCCTAAACCCTAAACCCTAAACCCTAAACCCTAGCAGCACCTGGAGTGCCCCAGAAACCAACTCTGGGCCTCCAGGGCTTCCACCCGCAGCCTCAGCTGCTCTCCAGTCGCCCGCTGAGCGGTTTTGGGGGTTCTGGGGTTTTGGGGTTTTTTGAGTTTTGTTTGTGCTTTTTGGTGTTTTTTGGTTTTTTTTTTGGTTTTTGGGGGTTTTTGGGGGGTTTTGTGGGGGTTCTGGGGTTTTGGGGTTTTTTGGTGTTTTTTGGGTTTTTTGGGTTTTTTCGGGTTTGTTTGGGGTTTTTTGGGGTTTTGGGGGTTTTGGGGTTTTGGGGTTTTGGGATTTTGGGGTTTTGGGGTTTTGGGGTTTTGGGGTTTTAGGGTTTTAGGGTTTGGGTTTTTTTTGGGGGTTGTGGGGTTTTGGGGTTTAGGGTCCGGGCTTCACAGCTTCAGAGGTGTTGTGAAGACTCCAGGGCTCGGAAAGCAATGTCAGGAGGGCCGTGAGTCCCCACCCTCACGACGCATTGTGACGAGTCTGTGACGAGCCTCTGACACACTAGCATGTGCGACCTTTGGGGCCTTGGGGGGACTTTCATCAACAAGAGCAGATCGCAGTGTAGGTTCATTGGTGGCTTGGCAAGGAAGTCGAGAGAACGCGACTCGCAGGTGCCTCCAGCTTCCGGCAGCAGATTGCTGATGCAAGGCTCCTTCCTTGAGGACAAAGTGCCTGTACGGTTTATTAGTTCATTCTAGTCCATGTACCTTCAAAGGGCAGAAAAAGGAGCATGTGGTGCATGATTGTGGTCCCCAAGGTTGGCTAGTGGTAGGACGAAGTCACGTCCACAGCACTTCTGGCACCACACGCCCATGCTGAAGACCGAAACCTCCTGTTGCAGGTTCATGCCCGAGCTCCACAGCCGATCCTTCCAGGAGCCCCAGGGTTTGTCTCAGAATCACAGAAGAAGGCTGATGTTCAGATGGCCGCTTGGAGCTTCATCGACTTATACACTATATTGGTCGTCTGTTTTCATGAAGGCCTCGACTTGTAGGAGATTGGCAGACAACAAACGATACACTCAGCGCCGGGGAGGTGCAGTCCTGAGCATTATTAGGAGGCATGCGTGCGTGCAGTGAAAGCATCCAGCGCCTGAAGCCGATTTGAAGTTTTCCCGAAGGGAAAGGATGTCGCCAAATTTGAAGGGCTTGTTGTGACTCGCCGGCCTGAGGTCCAGATGGCTTGCCCATGTTAACAGGAACCCCGACAAGTTTCTTAGACCTGAACACCCAAGACCACAACTGCTTGAAGCATAAGCGCCATATCTCAGAGGAGCTGTGCCGTGGGAGCTGGTCGGGCGCTTGCGCCCGAGCCCTACAATGTCCTCCTACACTTGCGGTTTTTGCGTTTGGCTTCTTGGCATCCCTAAGCTTTATAAACCCTTGGGCCCCCCCGCCCCACCCCCAGCGAACGCTGCGTGCCCAGGAGGCACAGATAGGCTCTGATTCGATGATGCCGGGTGTTTTCGGTGTTGTTTATTGTGAGTGTGTAGGTGGACTAGGGGTGTTGGACCAGGACCACAGGCACTGCTCTACTAGGCATTTGCTTACTGAATAATAAGTCGTCCAGGCTTGGGTCGCTATTTTCCTGGTACCGTCTGACCTGCTGGGCAAGGTGCTTTGCTTGTGTTTGCTTGGCCTACGGGTGGCTTTTCTTGAGGGGCAAGAAGAATCCTAAAAGGGCTTAAGCTTCATAAGCCCGACAAGTAGGGACTCTGGTAGTGGAGGGTATATGATGCCGATTTTACGGTTGATTTGGTCCCCAAGGTAGGGTGGCCGATGGAAAGGAACATGTTGACAGGAGAGAGCTGAGAAGGTGACAGCAGAAGAGTGAGATTGCTCGGGCAGCATGGCCGACTTGCTGTAGCATCACAGATGTCGCAAGGAAACTTTGTTAGCTTGTATCTCGACGGAGACCTTAATGAACCCGCACGCCCTCAACAGCCAGACTTCCGATGCACCCTCGTTGAACCAGAAGCTCAACCCCCGCACATTGCCCGCACAGGAGGAGAAAGCCAGAAGGGCCTTGCGCAACTTCCGTGAGGCCGTGAGAGACTCTCTGGCATGCACGCATGGGGGGCGGGCGCACACTCACACTCTCAGGCAAGACTGAAGCCTCAAAGATATTCCATCCGTTTGCTATAAAGCCCGAAAGTGGAGGCTTGGACCAGCTCCTGCAGTGGTGGTGGGGGCGGGTGGTAGACAGTGAACTTTAGGGGGGAGGAGGTGGACTTCTGGCGCAAGTCGTGGTCTGCTTGGCTTTGGAGTCTCAGGAATCTCGCAGGTAACCTTGATTGTCAGAAGTGGGCAATGAAAACTACAAATAGCAGATGTAAAAACATAGCCTCACAACAATAGCTAATGGTTCACCAATAGTTGCCATAACACCAAGTAATAAGAGTTAACAATAGCAATAATTATAGTCATAGCGCTGCAAAGTTTAAAGTCGGATTCCGGGCTGCGGTTGCAGCGACGACTACCACCACCGCTGACCACATCCGCGAGGACTGGCTTTGTGGGTGGTGGCTAATTAGGAACCGAGGGGGTGTCAGTTGGCAGCTTACAGAAATGTGTCAACTTAGCACGTGAGTTGTCGTTCAAGGTTGTTCTTTGGCGTTCGGAGGGGGTTTCCGGGTGAAGCGCCTGTGCCGTTTGCAGCTCGATGATGTTAAAGTTCGAGTGTTTGATCGGAGCACCTTCGCCCCTCGACTCTCTGGCCATGGTCTTCATGGACATTGCAAAATATTGCAAACAGTTTGGTGGATGCCCCCTTCCGCGTGGCTCGAAGAGCCTTCGGCTGGTCGGCTGCAGACCTGGCCGAGGCACTCCGCACCGACGGCGCAACGGGTATGGTTAATCTCGCCTTCACTCGCTACAGCGTGGAGGAATGTGGAGGAGATGAAGACGATCTGCCAGGGCCTCCGCGTCAACACCAGCTGCTCAATGATTTTGTGGATGTCGGCTGGCCTGACAGACCAGCACGTGGAGCTGCTGACCCAGGCCTTGAAACACAACACTGGCCTACAGAGGCTGAATTTGGACGACAACCCCTATTACGGAGACGAGGCCGCCGAGGCCCTGGCGCAGGCAGCCGTGGCGGTGGGGACCGACCGCACCAAGCGGTGCATGGTCGATGTCGACACCACGAACATGACGAGGCGCGGCATGCACGCACTGGATGCCTTGAACCGGGTGGAAGGGATGATCACCGTTCGCTTTTCCCGAATGTTTGACACGTTGAAGATGCTGACCGGCCTAGGTTGTGTTGCAGATACAGTTTCCTGCTGACCGGCTACGGCTTTTTCTACAGAGCCCCGCGGCTCAAGGCGCCGAGCTTGGAGTCCTCGGAGTGCATGCAGTCATACCGCAGCGCAGTCAGGGCACAGAACCGGCAGGAGCTCTATGACACCGTCCGAAGCTTCCTGGAGGGACTCCGTGAAGTTCGAGGCATCCCTACAGAGTTCGTTCCTGGCCGACTGCTCTCTGACTTGGAGTTCGACGAACAACGTGTGAAAGGACGCGAGGGAAGGGCTAGCTTGTCACCGCACGAGCTGGCTCTGGTGCCGAGGAGTAACTCTCTACAGCTCCATCAACAAGGTCATTCGTGAGGACAGGGCTGGGCGTGTCATGGAGGCCGCCGCCAAGTTTTGCCGCACCTTGAACTGCCACTTGGTGGTGCCGCGCGGCACCGACTGCCGCCCGGATCGACAAGCTGTGGCCTCCATCCGATGGCCGGGGACACCAGGCGCAAGGTACACTTATCGAGGCACCTGGATGTCCTTGAGCGCCGTAGAATGGTATCTGGAGCGCCAACAAAACGGCGACACCTATCGTGTGGCACAGTTCCTTGCCACCAGCGACGGGCGGACCGTGGCATTGCAGTTCCTTGAAAGTTTCCCCAAGCCAGGGTGGGTGCCTGTTCTATTCACTGTGGATGTGGCAGAGCAGCCCTGCCACGTCGGACTTTTGGAGACCTTAACCTGCGTGCCGGGCGAGAGCGAGTGGCTGTTCCCCCCGGTCTCCACCTTCCGAGTCATGGCTACGGCTGAGTACGATCCGAGCCGTCCCAGCACCGCTGCAGACCCGCTGCACATCCATGTGCAGGCTTGCAAGGACAACATGACGGAGTCTACCCTACTCCCCACAACCTCTTGGAGCTGACGCGCCGCAGTCTGGTTGCACGAGCTGTTTTATTACGTCGCGACGCTTGTGCAGGTAATTAGTGCAACCTGTATGCCCGCTTGGACTAGGGATGCAAAAGGCGATGGTTGTAGGTGAGGTGGCCGTTTGTCGCATAGGCAACCATGCGGTAAGCAAGTCTGCAGTCTTTTTGTCAGGCGTGCCGCAATGTACGGGCCTCGGCTTCGTTCCCGAAACTCGGTATAGGCTAGATTATTAAGGCTTTCTAGCCCCGGAGAGTTCCTATACAATTACATGCAGATTCTCACATGTTAGCCAAAGCCCGGATTCTCTTTTTGCCACCCTGTAAGGTCAAGGAGCATGCATCGCAGCCGCTGGAGCTTGCAACTTAGAGTACGGTGTGCCTTGGGGGGCCACATGAAACCCCCAAAATGTCGTGCGCCCTCTACTGGTGTCTTAGGGTTGAGGGACCTTGTCGACCAGACTAGAATCCTTCAGGTACATGGAGTTATGCCGGACCAGAGGCACTTGTTTAATGCTGCTCTTTCTCCGAGGAAGGATTCAGGATTTAGGGTCGACGTGCACCCCCCCCCCCATCTGGCAATCGCAACAGTGAGTGAAGGCGCGACAGGGAAGGATAACGCTAAGCGTACGCACTTGATTCTACATACGACAGTGTCATGGATTGCCCTTTTCCTCCAAGCCTTCATCACCTTATTCGGAAGGGTAAGAGCACAAAACATGCACAGCAGATGTGATTGCGAGACTTGCAAGGACAAAGAACCCACTTCACGGAACACTTGCCGCTTTAGCAGCACACCTGTTAGTACAGATGCTTCGTATGAGGAATGCATGCACTTATTGTATCGGTGAAAGTTTGCATCCCGTGTTTCAAGAGTATGGCGAAGAGACAAACACCAGTTTCATAAGATCAATCAGCATATTACAACGTATAGTTTAGATGATGATATGAATATGGACTTCTGTAAGGGTAAGGCATGTGAGATGCTAAGACATGCAAGACATGTTAAATGCGTTTGTAGGCAGAGAGCGTATGTACGAAAAAAACAAAGTACGGCCTTCCACGATGTATCTAAGAAACTTTGGTTTAAAGGGAAGAAATGAGTGCGGCGATCTTCACCTCAATTGCATTTAAAGAATTGACGTCTTTATATAGCATAATTAGCTGGAATGAGTGACACCCAACATGAAATATGTGAAAGCGAGTATAAGTATAGCATGTGCACATGCGACATGTATCAGCACAAACGTGACATGATGTCCCGTATCAATCGGTGTATCAACTGCGCAAAACTACGACAAGACTGACAGGCAAATCACAAAGTCATACCTATGGTCACGTATGATGTCAGCTGTGGCTGTTTTCTCTTGTTCAGCCCGTGCTACAATGTAATCGTTCACATCACGAAGACATAGCTTTAAACTTTAGCTTCAAGATGTTTGAGTGGGTGAATGATGTACGACTCTTGGCCAGATGGTGCTTAGAATAAGGGCCACACATATTAGATGTATGTATTGACTTTGAACTGCCATTTCGGAAAAGCACTGGAACACATAGCAACTGAATCCATCAGCAGTTGGAAAACGTGATCGGAAATATTGCCATGCATGTCAGGGCAACTAGATGATTGAGAAGCTCGACGAAGGATACCGTAGAGAGACGCTGACAAGACGATATCGCTGAGATATATTATAGGAACTAAGACAATGGATGAACAAAGCAATCCAAAATGGATGGCGCGCATAAAGTGAAGGAAAGGAGACAAGGCAGGGCTGAGAAAAGTACAAATTGAATCGAGATGGCTACCGCAGACCCATAGAGAAACAAAGCAATAAAAAAAAAAAAAAGTATATCGACGGAAGGTCCCACTCAAACCGACCCCCAAACCCTCTCGTCACAACCAAATCATTGCTCTTGCTCGCTTCGAGAGTTGCGCCCCCTAAGACAGGATTAGATAGGATTAGTTCTATAACCTGGCAAAGTGCTTGGGATACGGTTGATAGTTGGGCGGTGTATTGAGCCAAGAATGGGCGAGCATCCGGCTAACTTGACGAACACCTGAACCCCGAATCAACCCTAACCTCTAACCTCGACTTTGATGAATGATGTGCCAGACTAGTGCCCTGCAGTGTGTCCGAGAGGTGAGCGAGGCAGGGGGCAAAAAGGAACCCCACGCTTTACCCCAACCAAAGGGTCTCAAACCAGACACGGGCCTTCCCAGGTGCTTCTGGGCCCGCACCGATGGATCCCCCGGCTCACCCTTCAAGGGGTCTGGAGCTTGGCACATGGGGGGTGGGGGGTGGTGGTTAGGGTTTGAGGCTTAAGGTTTCGGGTTTGTGGTGTTTAAGGGTTTCGGGTTTGGGTCGGAGAAGGATGGTATTGTATGAATGAATCCTAATATGAAGGGGCCGCAAAAGGGACCATACCTTTGAGAACTGCCTTCGGGTTTCCGTTTCTAGGTTATGGGTTCTGGGCTCCTTGTTTGGTACCCTTGATTCGTATGAAGGAACTTGCCATGGCTTGGGACGCAATTATCCTTAAGTAATGAAGTTGGGACCACGTATGCCCTAGATTAGTACAATGAAGGGGTATACGGACCATGAACCCCTTCATGGTTCGTTTAGTCACAAGAGGTCCCCTCTCAGGGATCCTGTTACATTGAAGACTGTTCCAAAAAAAGACTTGCAAGGCCCCCATGCGATGGTTTGTGCTCTCAAGACTCTTAGTTCGTGATCAGAAGGGCCTGTGAAAATGTCAATGTGTACTCTGGACGATGCAAACCCCGATACTTTTGAAAGAGAACAAATGGTCTTAGGGCTCATCCCTGCCTCAGCCCCTACGAAAGAATCTGGGCCCACGAGGTTGGATCCGCGGCTCCTGCCCTCTCCGAAGGTGCCCGGCAAGGGCGTATCCGTACCATCCTCAGAGCTCTGCAGCTCACGGGAACGAATATGAACCCTGGCCCTAAAAGGGTCTCTAGTCACGGGATCCCAATTTAAGGGCTCCTTTGGTCCTGAAGTAGCTCGCAACCTTCATCTCGTGAAAATGGCGCCTACGGATGCTCGTGGCGTTGCGCATGGGCACACAGAGGGTGCAGCTCGCACGCATTGTGCCTGCGAGGGCTTGAGAGATCCCAGGCTCTTGCTGCAAAGGCATTCAGCAAATTGGGAGTGGCCGGGGGGCGAACACACAACTTGTGTGGCACCATCATTTTGCCTGATAGTGCACCTTACACGCACATCATCGCGCACCATTACTGCATGTACTGCATCGTGCATGGGGCACGGCTGAAGCTGACGTTGAGGTCTTCGCCTATGCTGGCGCGGCGGAGCAGGCATCGCAGCATGGCACCTCCTCCACACGGGGCGCGCATTGCTTGCAAAGGGTTCAGCAAACGAAGTGGCAGTCTCCAGTAAAGTGGCCATAGAGACAGAGAGAGACAGAGAGAGACGGACAGAGAGGATAGAGAAAACTTCATCGCTGGGTGGGGACACAACGCCCCCGCTTTTGTCCAGCTCGATCCGTTGTCTCACACAACCATCTCCACGAAGATTGGACATGCGGGGGCCGGCTCGAAGGGGCAGCAGGAGCATGAAGTAGGAAAGAAAGAGAAAGACATAGACAGAGAGACCCCCTGGTTGAGGTTCTGCTTGCCAGAAGGAAGGAAGGAAGGAAGAGAGTGAGAGGGAGGAAGGCATCTTGGCAGCCTGGGCAGGGTATTGTGGCTTTCGTACAGCAAGCCTTACCTTCCCACTGGCATTGGCATGTGCTGCGATAGGGCCTGGGATGCGACAGGAGGCGGGGTGCTGGTTGCTGCTAGGCGGTCCTCTTCCCCAAGGAAGTGCTCGGACGGGAGTTGGCAGGGGCCTCTGGACTGCTTGACGACCTCGCGGGCCTTGCATGAGATAGTGAGTGCTCAAGAGCGTGGGATAGCCTACCCATCTAAAGAACTCAAGGCTTGCAGAGTAGCTCTGGAATCTTATAGTTGTGAACTGAGACGCGATGGACTGATTGTGTCGGCAGCTTCATTGAAGCCATATAAGTCCTTCTAACTCGAAGCTGGGCGTGTATCATGATCAGTTTGTGATGATTGTGTTTTGCATGCTCGTGGGCACCTAAGTTCCTCCTCCGCCAACGCGCACGACGCCCTGCCTAGCTGTAGGCTTCACTCAGGCGGTAAAAGGCTTTTGTAGGGTTTAGGAAGCTTTGTTGTCGAACTCCGAACCATCCCACACATAGATAGATGTATATTATGTACACACACCTCACACCCTTTTAAGTACCTGGGTTCTGCTTTCAGTTGGAATGTCTGGCTTGGATGGGTCGACAAGGGTTAACCCCAATAGAGCAGAGTCTCAAAGCCGAAGCTCCGCACCCGCGCCCACGGCCCGAAGATCAAAGAGTTTGAAGCAGAGGCTCAGCGCGACCTTACCAAGTGGCTTCAGCAGGTGCAGGCCACCGCCCGTCCATCGTCGAGCCAGAATCCTTCTGTCCGTGATGCAACCCAGAATCGCATGGAAATGGAAATGTCTCCTGCAGGATGCATGCCACATGAACCACAAGATTAGGACCATATGCCCTATGTTACTTCTGAAGAAATATGGACCATAAATTAACCTCTGTCAGGGCTTACTTAAGCCTCAAGGCAAAGAACAGAATGATCTGTTCATTGCGGGGCCAGGCGATCCGCGACCCCAGCGAGCTCCGCGAGGACGTCGCATTATATACTGCCTAGCAGGGGGGTTTGGGGGGTTTTGGGGGTGCAGCTTTGATTTTTTGAGGGTGCTCGAGCGTGACCATGCTCAGGGGGTAGGACACATGCATTTGCTGCTGCGCTAACCATGCAAGGACGCAGGGGACCTGCACAAAGTGCCGATGGCTGAGTTCGAGAAGCACCTTGCGCAAATCGCACGATTCAAGTTGTGGGTCTTAGCTGTTTTAAAAGGTTTGGGGTGGTGTTTTGGTACATGGTCCACACATGTCTGAGACAACCTGACAG